TGAAAGCAGTCAAAGTAAAGTTTAATTTTTTTTAAATGTAAATAAAATAAAATAAATCTAATAATAATTTTAAAAAAGTTGTAAAAGTCCCCCGCCCCCGTGAGCACGCGCGTCGCCACGTAAACACGCATCGGTCGGGTACGCCTACGTATGAAAACGACGAACGCGCTACACATGTTGGGTATCGCCGCGCACGCCGGAGTGAGAGCGATAATTCTAGGGCCAGTATTTTGGGGTCTCTCTAAATTGATGACCTGTGGGGGCTTTTAAAGCGTCTTCTATGGACTTTTTGGGGTACTGGGTTTTTTTGCCGTTTCACGGACGCACGCAATTCGTAACCCGGGCATGTCGGGTATAGTTTTACTCGTTGTCACCTCGTCTTTTATATTTTATTTAAAAAATGGGTATTGTATTGTGTTTTGGGACATTTAAGTACATTTTTTTACTAAAGTTTGGGGTTTAATAATGAGTTGCGCTAATATCGTGCAACATAAAAATTTGTAACTACCGCCATTTTATTCTACGGGGTCTTGGCATTCAGAAAATATATCACGTTTGGGGGGGTTTTAAGTCATTTTCAGGCCTAAAATGTGGAATATAACACGGGGGCAAAAAATGGAAAAAAGGCCTCAGTCATGAAGGGGTTAATGTTCATCCCGTGCCTGGAGCAAAACTCGCGAGAGCAGTGCACGAGTAATGGTGCCGGCAGCATCCGGAACGGACCGCGCTGGTACGAACAGAGCCCAGGAATACCATAGCCTCATCCCTCTCTTCCCCATCTCCATCATCATCCTCATCCTTCTCTTCCTCACGCTCGGGATTCTCGCACCCGTCCCTCAATCTGTTCAACCAATCACCGATCACTGACAGCTCCGCGCTCCTCCTCCGGTGATCAGCTGACTGTAAGGGGCGTGGCTGGCATCTTGCGGCTGACAGGTGAGTGGGCGTCTACGAGGGAGAGTCCCTCCCGGGGGCGTGACCGACTATTTAGGCACTGATTGGCCGCTTCCCCACGTGCATTGTAATCTTCCGGTTCAGGACGGGACTTCCGGTTCTCAGGTGTCAGAGCTGCTGCGACCGGGAGGTGAGGAGACTCCGAGTGGGGGATGAGGGGGGGAGGGGAATGGGACCAGGGCGGGGTGCAGTATTGGGGTAGGGAGTGGGGTAATAGGGCGGAATGGGGTATTATAAAGGGGCATTACTGGGGAGGGAAGGTCGTACTGGGGGTTAGGATGAGGGAGCT